AACAAAAGATTATAATAAAATTTTATATGGTCGTTTAGCAATTGTCTTGATCATGGAATATTATTGGGAAATATGAATCTGTGTTATCAAAATTTGAATCCACTTTGTTTTTTTTCTTAACAAAAAAGATAAATATTGTTCCTCCATTGATCAAGAATTTCAGTCTTTGAAGAAAATTTCTTTGTGCTCCAATAAGCTGATGTTTTTGACCTTTTTTGCTTTTGCAAAAAATTCAAAAAAGTGAATCTATAATTTCAAGAGGTGCTGTCGTCAACCAATTAGAACAAGAAGGACAAAGAACAAATGAAACAATGTCCAAAGTTTGGACTTTAGTTGGCCTAATAGTCTAGCAATGTAGTGGTACTATCATTTGAAGATTGTTGAGAAGGGAAAGGACAAGCAAATGAGAGGGTAAAAAGCAATAGAAAGACAAGGCTGTCTTACATGTGGAACTTGATTGAAGTTCAATAGTATCAGAATTGCCATGTCCCAGAGAGGATCAAAAAACCAATTTATTATTTTGTCATTAAGGGTATGCTGGTTGACAGTGGATGGTGAGAGGTGGCATTTCATGAAAGTGACCAACCTCATGTATTTGGTGCATTTTTCAGAAAACTGTCCATGGTGCCAAGTGAAATAGTCATGAAGAACAAAGCCATCTGAAGCAACTCACAGCCAGTCAGCTATGGGTTTATGTTTATGACGAGCGAGTTTCAATTATTGGCTGTTAGCAACTGATGATTGGTTGACATTCTTCTGGCAACAACTGGTGATCATTCGGTGATGATGATCATTGGAAAATAAATATTTGATGATCTGTGAAAAGTTGGTGCTGGAAGATCATTGTCCACAGCTTATGGAATTTGATAAGTTGCACCATGGTCTTTGGTGATTGACAACTGATGATTTGTTGGAGTTGTTGGTTATCCAATCTGTAATGGCTGATGGTCACCAACTGTCATCATTTCAACCACAAAGATCATCCACCCATGGTGCTGACAGATAGAGAGCATCATGTGCTGATCTGCTATTGATTAATGATCACTAGTTGACATGAAGGCTGGCAATCTACTAGCAGTCAGTTGGCTGATATGTTGTTTATGATACCAATCTAGCAATGACCAATATTAGTCAGCTCTGCCAGATCCCATGATCAGATTAATTGATTGTCTATCAAGTATCAATAGCTGCTTATCGCTAATGATGGTCTCAAATCAGTGTTGCATGGAAATGGGCACAAAAAAATTCAATATGCATGTTCCAAGTTTCTGATTCAAAAATGAGATTACGAGTTAAGCCATTAAGGGACACCTAGAAGCATAACTATGGAAAAGTAATAGCATACTCATGTTGTATATATGAAAATACAAAAGTTGGAAGTTATACTCATTGGAATCTTTAGGATCATGAAACATTCAATTCTTTTATTGTTGTGTCATTTATAGTATAATTAAAATGTCTAATAAATGTGGATGCTTGAATGTGTTCGACACAGTTTGTGGGTGTGGATGCAAGAGTTCATATAACACTGTCTACAATAATTGCAATATGTTCATCACTAATGATCGTTGATGATACTTATGTACTGCATGTCTGTCATTTATCCAATTACACATTGGCCATTTGTTTGTTGATAGAATAATCTACAACAATAAAAAAGTGGAATTTTGGAACTTGAGATAAATATAGAGACTTAGGTTCATGCGACTCAAGATGGTTTAAGATGTCTTACACGAATTTAGTTCGAATTAAGATATAGGCTACTAGCGTAGGTGTGACTCCTATGATCTGCAGTGAGCCCCCATGTTATTCTCTCTTCTCATTTTTCTCTCTATTTTTCTTCTACAATGTTGAATACCCTAAAAAATTCTTTTTTGTTGTTCTCTCTTAAAATTTCATCTTTTCTTGTTGGCTTCCAGAACAATACTAAAAACTATGATCATGAACCCCAAATCTTTTCCAGTCATTTCCAGCTTTTCAACCTCAAATATTTTGAGAATTTTCCTAAAACCTAAAATTCAAGCACTCATAAATTTGTGGTATGACTAGGAGAGGTAGGTATCGAGCATGTCCCTACAACAGCTGAATGTCTTCTCGTCCAGCTCATATCTGACATGATCATGGTGACTTCATTTCTGTATACGTACTTCCTGGGCCCATAAACACCAGTATAGGAATTGTAATTTTGTCTAATATATTTTGGTAATGATCCTTTCCATGCTATGTTGGTTGATCGAATGTCCAGAGGATGGTATATGTGGATGAAGTCAGAAGTCTGCCCTTAACCATGGACTAGATTTATGATTGGCTGGGCTACTAGTTGGTCTCAACCTGTATCAAACCAATGCCAGCATGTATTGGACATGCTCTAACTGTGATCTACTTCATACTGGGGATACTAGCATTATAGGGTGGTTCACATCTCTTTTTTGAATTGAGGATCATGTTGAGCGTCGTCTTTGCTCTACCTTAACAGATGAAGAACAGAAGGAAAGGTAAGGATACTCCGACAATGTGTGGATCTGAGAAAGGCATTGTTATGGTTGGCCTGACCCTGATCTCTCTCATTAGCCTGGGTGTCATAGGGCCCATCAAAAGGACCAAAATATGGGTGTGATTCAGCAATGAGCAGCTTGAAAAGCTTTGGGCAGCCTATATGTGTGATGCTTCATCCTATTCCAACAACAAAATGCCACTAAGGCTCAATCCAGCTGCAATCTAGCATGTGGAAGTTGCGATAAAGCTCTTGAAGATTCCTATGTCGACTAAGAAAGGGAGGATATTTAATTCTAGAACATAACAGTATTCTTGGATTTGGAGTGGACTGAAGCCCTATATGTCACTTTGAAGCTGGGTAGGATAGAGTTGTCCTATTTTTCTTTTATTTTCGGATTAGTTTTCGTAGTTAATTTTGATATCAACTTTAGGTGATTGTTTAGAGACCTATTTTAGGTCTATATGTCATCTAACATAGCTAATAGAGTTGTGGCATAGGCTAGGTAAGTTGTTTAGCTAGTTAATTTTGGTAGCAATTATAGAGATTTCTTTTGGTGGAATTTTGGAGTGACAAGATTATTGAATCTTCACATATTCTCTGTGATTCCCATCCTCCACATCTTAAATACAACACTTAATTTGCAAAAGGAACCTCCACATTCTCTACTTGTCACAAGTTGTTCACATTTCACAAGAGGGCCTATGGTCTATCTCTATTTCTTCTTGTGGAGGATAGTTAAAAAAAATCAATAATTGGTCAGGAAACCTATGGATGTAGGATTAGAAGTATTTGTGGCTTGTCATGTTACAATCTGGTGGAAAATTCCTGTTTTGAAGTTTGCCAAAAGGAATTTAATATCCTTTAGTATCAAAGTCTGGGGTTTTTGAATTTGAGTTCTCGTTTAAGGTATGTTCCTGGGTTTGTCCTGAGGTCCTGTTTGAGAAACTGTAACTTGTCTAAAGTTGTGGTACCATAGCACCTTTCTGCTCTTCCTCCCACTTGCCAAGTTGAGATCTATTATTCAGTTGAAATTAGGGGTATCTAATGAATTTCTACAATGTTACAGGTTGGGTGAACCTCAGTGCATCTTGGGTAGCTGCATATTAATTCATAAACTCCAATTGTCTTCTAATCAACATGACTGGTTCCAGAGTTTCTGTACAATGTCCAAGGCTTTTCCTGATGATGTCAGATGCTAAATATGTCCCAGGCTACATAATTCTTGGCTTATTTATAGGTGATCAAACCGGGATCTTATTTATAGGTGATCAAAAATATTAAAAGCCACGGAAAAAATGAAAGGTTATAGCCTTTATATATTCACTGTACTATACTTTTTGTGAGTTCTGATTGTTCAACCTCCTAATAATACTGAAACTCATAGTTGGTATACTTCATATTGGTCATCCTGAGTTTTGACAGTCTCGGAAAGTGGATATGATCTACCAGTCTTCCAGGTATCCTCAGATTTATGAAAGCATGTTTGTGGATGGAAGACCTAACTCTTTATTTTTCCTCGTTTTTGCTTCTTTCTGCCAACATAATGTTCGGCTCTCGTGTGCTACACAGTTGTTGATATTTTATTACCATTGAAAATTCACATTTTGGTACAATGCTCTAGATTTGAACATCTTAAATTACGTGTTTCATGCATAGGTCGTACGTAAGAGATGTATAGCTTAAATGGTCTTAATATGAAACAGGTGCCGGGATTACTGAAGATAAGATATATCGGGCAAACCACTCTGGGAAGTGCAGCTGTTTTTGGACTCTTTTTGGGTGCTGGCAGTTTGATACATTGCGGGAAGTCTTATTGATTGCTGTTGGAGTCTTTTGAGCATGCTGGGTGTGCCGAGTTCTGAATCGTTTTGGGATTTTAGTTTGTCTTGAACTAATCATATTTGTCTATTACATCAAATATTGTAATGAGCAGGTACCGGAAAAGCAAATTAAGTTAATTTGTTTCGACCCAAAGGTTATGTTAAAAACTTAAAATCAAGTAATGGGTGTCACAACCGCCTGAGGGAGTTGCAATCAAAATAATTATGAAACTTGATAAGATGTCCTCTTTACAATGTGCTTCAGTTTTAATTAAAGTCCAGTTTAGTTATTGCCAATGACATAAATTGTTGGTCGTCTTCTTATGCAGGCATTGATGGTTGCATTGAGATGAGATGCTTGTCTGCCACCTCCAAAATTATCCCTTGTCTATTGAGATGAGATATATAGATAGAGCCTTCTAATTGCCATCTTCCCTTTTGTAGACTGCGTTATATGGATAAGAGTATGAAACATAGTTGCTGTCTTCCCTATTGTAGATTGTCTCAGCCTCCAAAAAGGTGGAAGGCTTTCTAAGGCCTGCAAGCATTCCTAAAACTAAACAATGTGCATGGCTACTGATTGTGAACGGAATTCAAGCAATGTGCATGGCTTCATCTGATGATGACAGTAACTAATGATCATAGTAGAACAAAGAATGCCTACAAGGTTATGAACCAAAAAGTAAACAAAACCAGCAATCAAGTAAACAATTAAATTAAAAATCTCTTGCCAAAATTTTCTTCTAAATCACAAGCTTTATGAGATTTCCACTCTTACTTCAGTCAAAGCCTACCTAATAAAGGTTTTTGAATTTCTAGATAATTTAGCAACAAAATTCAGTACTAGTGTCTTGATGCATCCTGTTTAGTAGGGTGGGGATGAACAAAAATTCAAGTTCCTGTTAACTTATCCTTGAGACAGGAAATGACACCTTATTTTATGAGAACTAGCCCCTCTGACTCCGTTGGCCAGTGAAAATGCAAGCTGTGGGTTGGTGATCGAAATGAGCCAAAGACTGATGCAAATTGCTAGGTTTTATGATTGTGATAGTTCTTGGCAGCGCTTCGTGGCTGCAATAACTGCGCTCATTAGGGTACCGCGGAATGCCCCCCTCTCGAGTTCATTAATCCCAGCAATGGTCGTTCCTGCAGGAGAAGTTACTGCATCTTTCAGTTGGCCAGGATGTTTTCCAGTCTTATTAACCATGGTTGCAGCACCTAAAACCTGCACAAAACAATAAGCTAAGTTAGACCCATGTTTATGATCGGCAGAGACATTTATTGCTGATTGCCAAGTTGATCTAGAGTCTTGAATTCCACACAAGTCGGCACTGTCGGAAAATACATATGAAAGCTATGTAGATTCTTTTTATCTGATAGTAAATAAATAACATGACAATTTTCTCTAACATAAGCTGTGGCTTATTCTTCAACTTCATGTTTTGAGCCGTCAGTAACTGACCAAATCAAGTAGGGTGACAAAGAAGAAGAAACTCATGTTCCAGTTATCTGTGATTCTGTGTTCAAAGACAGATGGAGATGACATCAACAGAGAGTATGACTGGGCATAAGTACCACTGTTTATAAAGGAGAGAATGGAGAATTTAGGAAAAAAGAAACCTTGATTGAGCTTGTTTACTGGTTTATGCACCAGGCTCCTGTCAAAGGCAAGGTCTGCAGAGGATCAATATTTACATAGTAAAATACCAATGAAAAAGCAATTTCATAAACCTCCAAAAAAAATATGGTCAACATAATGCATTGAGTCATTGACATCAAGGTTTATAATTTCGTACCGTACCGACGTATCGAGCTTTGCTCAATACAGTACAATACGAGCATACCGCTTAATACGTGTATATATATATATATATATATATATATATATATATATATATATATATATATATATATATATATATATATAAAAGGAGGCATAT